ATCTACTCTCATTTATGCAAAATATAACAAACTCCATGAGTTAATTCGACAACTCAATAGTAAACTTGGTTAAAAGAACTCACTACCTATCTGTCACTTCACTCGTTAATCTTGACAGACAACTTCTCCTAAAATTTAGCCATAGCGTTAAATAATCCCAGATAAATAAGAAATAATTGCCAAAAACACTAACCCTGGTTGAATAAGTGGAAGCCATCGGTAAGATATGTCCTACTTCATATCACAACAATAACGTATCTGATATAACTTGATTATGACCACTTGATAGAACAATTTGACTTATGGCATCAAATAAATTTGTAATTTATGATATAAATACGTGATATGCTAAATCTATTTAAGTGTTAAATATATAAAAATGAGTTTATATAAAATAATATTAATTATAATTATTTGATATCAAAATAAGCTTTTGTGATCTTCTTTGCTCTAATGCATGTTTTCAAATAGATCGGTCGAATATGTTATCTTCTTTCGTGACAGATCTTAAAACGAAATGAAGGAAAGAGCATATGCAGCATCATTTTCTCCTCATTTTTCCTTCCTTCTCTCCAACTTTTTCAGAGTGGTCGGTCTGAAACATCAATTAACAAAGCATACATACAGAAATGATTTCTTCATGTCTCCGAATCAAACGGAATAAAATGATTTCCTATCATTTAAAACCATCTAGTACCATCGAATTATTCAAATCTAAAGTCTCAAGTGCCATTTCTTATGACTTGCTTCATTGAGCAACCAAGAGGCAAGGAGAGTACATATGCTTGTTATTGTCACTATTGCCTTCCGATGATGCTCACCCTTGCCTAATGAGAATTCAATAAAGAAACACTTGATCTGATAACAGAAAATTACAGAGACTTATGGCTCTTCTGCTCTTCCAAATAATGCAGATGGCACCGGCTAAAAATAAGCCAAATCCATGGCTCAATTGAGGAACTATTACCAACCCATGTTTGTGAATTTTCAGCAGTTCTCAGACCAAGTTAGGTCACAAATTCATGCGTATGGAAAAGACAGATTTGGCATTGTTGCAGGGTTTGCTACCAGCAAAGGGAAGCGAACTTAAAGGAGAATGAAGAAGGCAAGTGGCCTGTCCTCCTTATGTAATCTGTCCATTCAGAAGTCCTTACAGCCTTCTCATTCGGCATGGCTTCTGCATTTGCACGCTTCTCTTCAGCTATCCTCCTTGTGGCAGCCAGTTTGTGAACTTTTCTTGTGCCCGAGCTTTCAATCTCTCAGCCTCCACCTAGAAACAGAACACTACTGATCAAGATGGCCAAAGCACTGGAAAATATGTCCCTATGTATGACAGCCCACTTTCAAAGTTCCAATCACATTTGGAAAATACAAAATGGATGAAGGGAACAAAAAGAATGCCTTCTGCTATGAATTACGCAATTTTCATTACAAGTTCCAGGCACTTTGGAAAGAACATATAAAATCGAATTCAACTAGATCAGACATTTTCCCACAACAGTTAACAGAGCTCCAAAAATATTCCAAGATCTACATTTGGAGTAAAAAAGTTTAATAAATAAAGTAAAAAAAATCCCCTACAAAGTTTTGAATGCTACTACGATATATTAAAGTGAATTAAATGAATCTAGCTACTGAGTACCTCCATTTTCTTCATTTCCATTTCTGCTTTCCATTTTTCATGATTTTCCCAAGCTTGTATCTTCACTTCCTCACATATAAACCTACAATAAAAGATCAACACATCAGTATCAGCTTGAGTAGACAGCACTCATACTAGTGCTGCGTAATTAAATGTAACAACATTTGAGTTGAAAGAACTCCAAATGGTTGATAATTAATTAAAGCTAATTATTAGCCAGGGAGGAGAATCAGTGCATCGCCTTGCCATTTGTTTGACTCATTTTGCCTCATCTCAATGCATAGCTCTACTTTCTAGTGGATTCAACTTTCTGGCTTGATCTGAATCATTATTCTCAGGTTTATTTCGAGCATCACCTATTCCCTTGGCAGCTGCATTAGCCTCACCTCTGTCCTCAGCAGTTGCTATACTCCCTTGTTGGAACCTTACTGGAGTGGAGGATCCTTAAGATATAGGGCACCTTGCTGCAGGAGTTGTAGCTCTAATGGGGGTAACTTTTCTTGATGGCTCTTGGCTTGCAATGGGGATCATCTCAGTCCCCATGTCTCTCACACTTACAGATCTCACAGCTGACATGGTTGTACCCTCCATAGGCTTATTGATCCACCAGATTGACTCATCACAGTCCACATTCTTTGTAACCACTTGTATTGAAGTGCCATTAGAACACAATTTCCATTTTTTTGTGCAGCTTCATCATCTTCACTGCTGGAGTAATCTTGCACCTTCCGCGGAACAGGAGCTATCAAGCACCTGTCATCTGCGTTGGAGTCCAAGGCTTGGTCTTAGACTGGTTCTTCTCTCCACCTCTTAAAGACCCCACTAGCCATTTCTGTGCATCATCCCATTTTGATGGTGTTGGCTTGCCTAAGGCTGTCCAGTAATGAGAACCCTGGTTGGCCGTTCCATTCCCTTTATGAAACTCAAACTAATGTTGCTGTTGCTGCTGCCTGAAATCTCCTGTGGTGGTCCAAGGTTAGCAGCTCTTATCCTCAATATATCTCATATTTTCTAATCAGTAAACCCTTTCAGAACATAAAATCATTACTGAACCAACAAGGACTACAATCTAGATCCCATCTACAAGTCAAAGACAGCTTAGATTGAAGCCTTGATACAAAAACTGATCTGGGTTTCAGAGATCAGTCTCAGTTACTGAATCTTTGACATGCTAATGAATCTACCATGAAGTGTGAACATTCTCACTTCCGTTTCTAGTTTCCCCTTGCATCATAGTGTCCAGTTCCAGTTTGAAGGAATCATGCAACTGTAAATCACAAATCAATCACTGGCATCTGAAACACCCCGATTGCCTTTCAGCACAACACAAGTACTCTTAGCAAACAGAAAATGAAGCAAGAAAGGTCCATACTAGAAGGCCTAAAAATTGGTCAAACCATGCCGAGACAGGGATGAAGTTGAGATTGCTGTCCTTTTGGAAAATATCTGCTCATCATCTGGTCCTGTCAATCGGGGAGTACGTTCTTGAAAGGTAAGAAAAAGAAACCTGTAACACATCTCAACAGGCAACATCTGAGAAGGTAATGACAAAGTGATACCTCTCTATAGGGTTGAATTGCGTACTTACCAACTGATTAAGTTTCCTATACAAACTGGCCATGACTATTAATTACAACTGCAGCTGCTTCTCTCAAAACAGAAATAAAGAAATTTTGCCATAAGAAAGGGAGTGAACACATACAGACAACAATACTCAAGATAGGTCAAGATGATTAAACTACTAGTTGGTTAATAAAATGCAAAAAACACTAGTTAAATTCGTGTGAAGATCCAAGAACCACAGATGGAATCAAAACAAAACTAATAACTGCAAATGAGTTGGCAACTAGGCATTCTAATCTACATAGGAAAGCATGACTGAATAACATTCGCTGAAAAACATTTTCAGAATAGCAGAACACCAATTTTATTATGATTTTATATAAAGCCCCATATTTATGAGCTTTGGTAAAACGAAACTTCTAGGGTTCAACTGGTTAAAACATTTTCAGGTAGTTATCAAAATGCAATGCAGCCATCCCAATTAGAGATCTGTAATCAACCAATGTTTGCCCACACAATGAGAATGCAGCATGAGAAGCAAAGAATATTGACAATTTGACATTTAAGAGTTGTGGCTCAGTCATTCCTACCTGCTAATATCAAAGGAACCACCATAACCTGGCAACCCAGTGCCAGAACCCCATTCTGTCAATTATCAAATGTACTCCAAAATGAAAATGTGCTCATTGCCTGATTAATTAACAAATCCCTCACCTCCCTAATCAATTAAACCAATAACGGAACAGTTACCCATGGATATGTTTGGACCCTATTCTCATTAAGTGATATCACGAACTAAAACCACATTCTCAAATAATGCCCCAACAAATTGCAGCCAAATCAAGCTCATCAATCAGATAATATACATCAGGGTTGTAAAGAAGAGACTCAAGATGATCCACACATCATATGATATGAAGTTTGGATGTACACAGTGTGTAAAGTTAGCTACTGACATAAGAAAAAGATAGTAATAGAACATTTAAAAACAATACTAACGAGGAGAATTGTTACTTATAAGCAGAATAAAATTCTTCCAATTCTGTATTCTATTCAGACCCTTTCAACCTTGTAGTTTTATACATCTATAGATCTATATTAGCATCTTTTTGTTGAATTAATGTTTGAAGTGAAGAAATATAATTAATACAATGAGGGTGTTTGGCAAAACTTAAAAAGCAACTTGTTTCAAAGCAAGTTCTTCTCTCATAAATTTGAAAATTTGTTCAAGGGAAATTAAAAAATTAGCTTTTAAAGTAGCTTTTAAACAAGTTTTGAAAAAGCTACATATCCAAGCATTCTTAAAACTTGCTTAAAAATCACATTAAAAAGCTAAATTTTGAATTTCTTTCTAACAAAATTTCAAAATTGTGAGGATAGAATATGCTCTTAGAGCAAGTGCTTTTTAAGCATTGCCAAACACCCTCAATGTTTAGACTTCTCCTGAGTTAAGTTTTACTCTATGGTAAGGTTTCTACATATCTAAATACAAATTATCATACATGTATACTTAAACTTCAACTGCTACTAACTCTTAAATGTGTTACAAATATTAGTTCAACATCATTTAAGCCTACCTTTTATTACAGAAAGGTAGTCACAGAAATGTGGAAAACATTACATAAACAAGTTTTCTAGGTAACTTCCCATCTTCACCATTTTTACCAACCAAGAAGGTTAGCAGTCACCTTTAAACAGATTTTGCCATTAATTCCCATTCAATTATCAGGGAAAACATCGGGGAAGTGGGTGGGTCTACAAATAACAATATACAGATGCTGTCATGGGCAATTCCAGAAACACATTTTTTCCTTTTCATTTCAACTAAGAGTTCTATCCACCATAAATTTATATTGAGTATATTCATAACAGTAATAATGTGAAACTGCTAACCTACCATCCTCAAGAATGCAGACCAATGCAGACAGTTTAGTGCGAAAGAATCAATTGTATCAATCTACAATAATGCAACAAACCAAGATTTGTATGTACCTCTAGCAAGGCCTGATGGAACAACTAATTGGAGGTTCAACAAAAACCAATAGGCAGGTGACCTCCTCAACCTGCTTGCTTTGAGACTGCAGCAACATTTGCAGACAATGTCACAAAAGATTCTAAAGCTAATTAGAGCTAGAATCGTCCCATACCACTAATCAAAATAGAAAATAAACAAAAATGAATTGACAAGGCAATCAAGTACAGATAGGACACAAACGTAGCCTACTGTGTTATTAAAGGTTCAAGCATCATGTATGGTTAAATTTAACAAATTTCAAAATGAAAGTTTAAAATTTTGAGGACTTATCTAATGCATATGAAAAGTCTAGAGATGTCAATGAAAGAGAATGCCATTCATCACTAATTTCCTTAATGCAAGTGAGCTTATTTTCTTGTGGATGTATAGGCTGCATAAATCCAAGACAAAAAATGAATAAAATAGATCTTCCATGGAAAAATTCAATCCCTACTTTGGGCAGGATAGTTAACAAAATCAGTAAACAAAAAAATAATAATAATATTTTAGAGTTTATTCCCCCATCCACTTTTAAGTGGATCTGCATTGCAAAAGACAGGTTTTAACCCAGCTCCAGCAGTTAGATGAAAGAAAATGCATGAAGAAGGAAATTTTAGCAACACAAACAAGATCTGGAGAAATCTTTGCCGTTCTAATCACCACTAATACTACTTTTTTGAATTTACGAAAACCATACGTACAATAACTGCTAGTTAGCAGAGTTTTACAAGATGTTTTTGATCATGAGCTCTGATCAAGGCATTTGGCAAAGTAATCACTTTGGCTAGTTTCGTAAAAGAGCAAGGAAAGAATAAAACAAGTAGCTCTCCACAAAGTAATTATAAACAACCCTCAAATATCAACACAAGTTAGAAAACTTTCCTATTAGAGATAATCCCTCAATGCACAGAAGCTATAAACCTGACCCCACAATAATTTTACACAAAGGTGAATTTAACAATTACCTCTGAAGAACAATGGTTACAGTCAGTTTCTTCCTCAGTGAAAAGATAAGAACCTCCCCTTCACTTCACACCAACCACCTCTTGCAAGCACAATGTGAATATTAAAAAGGATAGAACAAATACGGACAACTAGATTGATATTGTTATAAAATTATTCAAAACCAAATATAATGAGAATGTTTACAATGTTCCAATAAAAATATGTTACATGAGTGTCTGCTGAAACTGACTTTTTTAAATAAGAAAAGGCTGTTATGCCACACCTTGCACCACAAGCATTGTCCAGGGGGCATTTCTAAATGATGACCAAAGCTGGAGAAATTAACCTGCAAATATCTTGTTCAACAGGAGGCAAATAATAACTCCACCCACATTACAGTTGGCGCCTGCTAAAAAACAGCATGAATGATTTTCTGACAAAAACCGTTGGCTACTCCCGTTGAATGCAATCTCTCACCTCAACCATGGTCATCTGTCAATACATTGGAAATCTTGCCCAGATGTCACTGCTCAGTAAAATTTCTTTCAGCCAAACAAGCCACCAGTTCCTATTTCAGCTTGCTGCAACTCCTTTCTACGTTGTTCTTCCAAGGGATCTGGACTCTTCAAAATTCTTCTCATACGCCTACTCATAGAATCAAAGAATTAATTAAAAAAATGGATAGACAAAATTGATAAAATAAAAATGATTGCATGTAATATATTGTTCTGCAATGCTCAAGTACCTGTCTTGTGCATGTTGGGCAGGGAAGGTAGGCATGAAATCTTTAGACTTGGGAAGTGGAACTTCATGAAACCATTCATGGTTAAGAGCAGCTTCAGCTGTTATCCGCTGCAAGGGAAAACAAAAGGGTTCAGAACATTGCACAATCCAATCATGAAGAAACTAAAGCAAAGTATTTGCAGAAAAACTAGTTATATACCTTCTCTGGATCATAAGTGAGAAGTTTATTCAACAAATCAAATCCAGCATCAGAGAGAACTGGTGACCCAGTGAAGGATGTTGCTGGGAATTTCTTGCGTAGAAGATTATACCTAGAAGAAAAAAGTCAGTAGTTAATACAAATAAGCAATAAATGTGCTTTCACTGAAATGACACCAATGAAGGCCAGAAAGCCAGAGCGGAATCACCCAAAGCTGGAAGCCTGGGAAAACAGTAAGAAGAATAAGAAGACCTTGATATCATGGTCGGCCTTATCTGAAAATAAATTTATGAAAGATCAAGTACTTACTGATGCTTGACAAAGTTGACTTTAACTCCAGGCAGCTTTGAAAACCCCGGCCAAATTGTCTCATTTGGTGTGCCAAGAATTCTAAAAATCTTCAGCAAAAGCAAACAGAAAAAAATTAGACCACTGACATCAACCTGATTTAGCATAGTTGCAACAAGAAGGCCATGCACTGCAAAATCAATAAGTTAGTTCAACTAATTTAACTCGCCTTGTCAAGTTGGTCAAATTCAGTTTTGCCATTGAAAAGTGGTGCCTTTGATAATAATTCAGCCATGATGCAGCCTAGAGACCACATGTCAATTGCAGTTGAATACTGTTTTGCGCCCAAAAGTAGTTCAGGTGCCCTGCCAGATCAGCAGAACAGGTCATTATTTCTTACATATGCATATCCCAAGAAAAAGTAAAATAGAAAATTATTAATACTATTATACTGACAAAGGATGTCCCAGATTTCCAGAAAACACCTATAATAAAGTTTGCATATAGAAGAATGGCTAGGTTTCAACTAACTACATAGTTTAATAGTTAAGTCTGACCCACTTCGGTAAAATCGAAACAAATGGCTTTAACAGCAACTACCAGAAAGTAAGTCCCAAAAAAAGAAAAAAATCTAGTCCACAACTTGTGAAATATGTACCACAAACAAGCCCTAGCTTGCAGAACTATCATAAATTAAAATTAAGATTTTTCAGCTCCTAAGCAACTACATGGCCAAAAAAATGCTCCTAAGTATATACAGTGTTCAATCAAACTACAATTGGAAAATTAAACCTATGAGGATGTTTTCAAACTTGAAAACAAGATTAATGGTTTATCACAATTTTACATGACATAAGCAAAAACAATAAATAAATGCATTTGAAAGGTAAAGAACACCACAAAATCTATCATCTATCATAATCCACTAAAAGAAATGAAGGATTGATTTAAAAACTTACATTCAGCTAGAAGTAAATCACTGAAAAGACAATATGCATTAGCTGTGTTACATTGAACATGGAAAGATGTGGAGTCCTGCTCACCTGTACCAAAGAGTAACAACCAAATGAGTATATGGCTTCAATGGGCTTCCATATTGGCGAGCCAACCCAAAATCACAAATCTTCAATTCACCCCGATTATTCAAAAGAAGATTAGATGTTTTTAAATCCCGGTGCAGCACCCAGTTGTCATGAAGATATTTAACACCCTCCAATAGCTGGAGCATCAGACACTTTACTTCACTTTGACTAAAAGCCTGCTTCATCGACTCCATTAGACCTTTAAGATCATGTTCCATGTATTCCATAACCATAAATATGCTATCAAGGCTGCCACCTACAACGACTTCTTTAACATCTACAATTGACTGATGATGAAAAGAAAGAAGAATGTTAATTTCCCTAAGAGAAGTCAAAGGAAAACCTTCTCTTTCCTTCTCCATCTTTACCTTCTTCAATGCTACTATTTCCCCTGTCCTTTTATCTCTAGCTCTATAGACAACACCATAAGTGCCTTCATCTATCTTATTTAGTCTCTCAAATTCATCAACACTTCTACATCCTTGAAGCATATTTATACTTCTTTGTGGAGGTGCAGGTTCAGGGGTCCCTCGTGAATTATTTCCATCCTCAGTATCAGTATCAGTATCAGACTGGCTAACACTACTATCACCTCTATGATATTCATTGTCAATCTCCATATAATTTTCCTTGCCCAAGTCATTAGCTGGGTAATCATCCCTACTACCAGACCTAGAACGGGCATCTTGTTCAACAGAGGATGACCTCCCCCCAAGTCCTTCAGATCCTTCCCTCAGAATCACCCCAACCTCAGGAGTTACCGACTTATTCCGTGCTCTGTCTTGCAATGATTCTGAAGCAGGCATCTTCTTCCTCCTTGTAGGCATCTCCTCATCCAAAATTTCACCCTCATCACCTGGAGAACTGTCATCAGATGCCCATCTTGAGGAAGATATGTTCCGGGTGGGTACATAATCCTCATCTTCTTGAAGCTCTCCTTCCTGATCATTACCCCATTGCTGATCAGCTGGTGGTGATGGGGCAAACCCTACAGGAGACTCTGCCACAGTAACAGCAGGAGCCTCACTTTTTGAGGAAGACAGCAACTTCCGGCTTTTACCACCTCTAATGGGAGATATCCGTACAACCATATCTAGAATGGGGTTAGGTGAATCATGGTAAGCCTTAGGTAATGGTGGTAGAAGAGGGAGGGTAGTAACAGTAGTTGATTTCCTGCTTCTTGTGAAATTGCTTGCTTCCTTATCATCTCTATCCCACACTATAGGGGAAAACTTCCTTTTCCTTTCCACAGGAGACCGAGCACCATTCTCTGTTACCTTCACACATTCAGTAGCTTTAGCCTGTAATTCAGAATCAAAGACATCCTCAGATCCACTCTCACTGGACAACTCACCAGGCTCCCTATCAACAGACCTATGAGAGAAATCACCTTCCCTGAGCCCAGGGTTTCCGCCCCCACTGCTACCAGAGTCACTCCTACTAGAAGAAGAACGATACCCACCATTTGCCACTTCCCTCTCCTTAATATCCTTCTGTCTAACCCTCATTCTATCTCTAACATCCTTTGCACGACCGAGTTCCATGTCACGACTATCATTCCTAGCTCGGTCATGCTTCTTTGAATTAACAAACTCCCTCCTTGAAACATCAGATTCCCTGTCCCTTAACTCATTATCATAATAACCGCCATATTCCCCAGCCGCCATATAGAAAATCGAAATTCTGAAAAGTTAAAACTCTCAACCCCCAAAAATCCTTTCACGTGCAAAAATCCTTAAACCCCCAAACAGAACCAAATTCCACCAACAAATTTTTTTTCTTTTTTGAATTTTCAAAAAATAAAATCGAACCCCTAGGATAAACAAAGGCTAACCCGAAAGAAACAAGAAATTGGGCAAGAAAACACTAAAACGACAAAAGTCCACACCAGATATTCGAATTCCGTGCTATTCAGCACGAAAACTTGGAGATGTAATTGAAACCCTAGCAATTAAAACAAAAATCGAAGAAAGAAAAGAAAACCCTATATCTTCGTGAAAAAAGATTAATTCGGAGATGTATCAATCCTCCAATCGAAATACAGAATAGGCGAGAGAATCGATCGGTTGGAGCTTACCGATCGGCGGTGAGGAGATGAAAGGCGGCGAACAATGGCAGTCGGAAGACAAGGCGAGAAAATAAGCCCTCGAAGTCGAAATTGAGAGATTAGGGAAAGAGAAGGAAAAAGGGAGACGAAACGCGGTGTTTTGTTCCGATGATTCCTGGACGCGGTTTGTAATAATTTTATTCCATTAAAAATTAAAATATACTGAAGAAAATATCTAGAGGTCCCTTGTCTTCTGTGGAAATATCAAGTGGATCCCTTCAATTTTGGCGGCCTGATTTGTTTGGGCTGGTTTCACTTGTTGGTTTATTGTAATTAGGTTTGGTTAAATACTAATTTTCATTTTGAAGTTTTATTTTTAAACATTTTTAGCTTTTTAACTTTTTTTTGCATTTTTTTGATCTTGAAATATGAAAAATACTTTTTTTAAATTCTTCTATTGGTTAATTTAATTGGTGGATAAACTAAAAAAAATACATTTTTTGTAATTTATAAACAAAGAAGTGTAAAAAATATTTTGAGGATTAAATGTTTAAAATTAGCATTTAACCATTAAGGTTTTTTTTTTTTTTTATCATCTTGGATTGATAAGAGGCATCCACCCATGAGTCATTCCACCACTAATATGTTATACAATTCAAATTCGAGACTATAAAGAAAGAGATTATTATTAAACTATTTAGACCATTGGCTCTTTATTTAGTTATACTCTAAATTTACCACATGAATAATGATTTGCTCACCATTATTATTTTCAAATTGAATTCTATAATTTTAGGTGAAAATCATTGTAATTGAGTTTTTTTACTTTTTTGAGATTTATGAATTGTCAGTTGTTTCATTGAAAAAACTATATACTTTCATTTAATGATTACACAAATATATAAGATTTGAATGCGAAATAATATTATGAGTGAGGCAATAATTGTTTTGTAGTTTGTCTTGTGTGGATAACAAATTTTGTAACTATTGATAAAAAACGATTATCTAATATAAAGTATATGTCCCTCATCAATGACTATTAGATGTGCAGTGTAGGTAGAAATGGGTGAATTATCTCCATATAATCTTGAATTAGTTTTGCTATCAATTCAATAAATTTTAGATTAGGTTGGCTTTGTTGATTAGGACAGGAGTCCAAGACCAAACGAGAAAGTCTGTATTCTAATGCTAGTTTTTAGCTGCATTGGTCCACTCTGTTGTCTTCTTTCAAGACAGATCTTAAACAAAGTGAAAATGAAACAGCATACGTGACCGCATTTTCTCCTCTTATTTCCCTCCTTTTCTCCAACATTCATCACAATGGTGGGGCTAAAACATCAACAATTAACTAATCATACATACCAGAGAGGGAAGATTTCTTCATGTCTCCAAATCAAATAGAATAAGCTTCCTTTTATTTAACACCATCTAGTACCATCAAGTGACTCAAATCTAAAGTCTCAACTGCCATTTCTAATGAATTGCTTCATTAGGCAACCAAAAGGCAAGAGTACATATGCTTGTTGATGATACTCACCCGTGCCTCATGAGAATTCAATAAAGAAACACTCGATTTGATAATAGAAAATTACAAAGACTTGTGGCTCTTCTGCTCTTCCAAATAATGCAGATGATCCCGGATGAAATATGCCAACTCTGTTGCTCATTTGAGGAACTATTACACACCCATAATTGCAAGTTTTCAGCAGTTATCATTTATCAGACCACCTTAGTTCACAAGTTCATGCGTATGGAAAAGACAGATTTGGCATTGTTGCAGGGTTGCTACCAGCAAAGGGAAGGGAACTTAAATGAGAATGAAGAAGGCAAGTGACCAGTCCTCCTTATGTAATCTGCCCGTTCAGAAGTCTTTACAGCCTTCTCATTTAGCTTGGCTTCTGCATTTGCACGCTTCTCTTCAGCTATCCTCCTTGTGGCAGCCAGTTTGTTTGTGAACTTTTCTTGTGCCCGAGCTTTCAATCTCTCAGCCTTCACCTGGAAACCAAATACTACTAATCAGAGAGCCAAAGCAGCATGAAACGTGTCCCTAGATAGGACAGTCCAGTTTCAAAGTTTCAAAGGCTTTTGGAAAATAGAACATGGATGAAAGGAATAAAAAGAATGCCTTATGCTATGAACTACACAATGTTCATTACACTTGAGAAAGAACATAGAAAATTGAATACAACTAGATCAACCATTTTCCCACAACAGTCAAGGGAATTCCAAACAATATTCCAAGATCTACATTTGTTAAACAGTCAGGAGTTAAAAACCGAAAAAAAAAAAAAAAAAAAAAAAAAAAGTCCCCTTGAAAGTTTTGAACGCATCTACGATAAATTAAAGAGAATTAAATGAATCTAGCAAAAAAATACCTCCATTTTCTTCATTTCCATTTCTGCTTTCCTTTTTTCATGATTTTCCCAAGCTTGTATCTTCACTTCCTCACGTTTATACCTACAATACAAGATCAACACATCAGTATCAGCTTGAGTAGAAAATACTCATCCTAGTGCTGCCTAATTAAATGTAACACAACATTTGAGTAGAAAGAACTCCATATTGCTGATAATTAATTAAAGCTAACCATTAGCTAGGGTAGGGAGAACCAGTGCATTACCTTGCCGTATATTTGGCTCGTTCTGCCTCATCCCAAGCCATAGCTCTACTTTGTAGTGGACTTAACTTTCTGGCTTGATCTGAATCATTCTTCTCAGGTATCTTTCGAGCATCACTTATTCCCCTGGCAGCTGCATTAGCCTCACCTCTGCCCTCAGCGGTTGCTATACCCCCTTGTTGGAACCTTACTGGAGTCGAGGATCCTGAAGATATAGGGCTCCTTGCTGCAGGAGTTGTGGCTCTAACTGGGGTAGCTGTTCTTGATGGCTCTTGGCTTGCAATGGGGGTCATCTCAGTCCCCATGTCTCTCACACTTACAGATCTCACAGTTGATGTTGTGGTACTCTCCGCAGGCTTATTGATCCGCCAGATTGACTCATCGCAGTCCACTTTCTTTGTTTCCACTCCGTATTGAAGTGCTATTGGAACACAATTTCCATTTTCTTGTGCAACTTCATCATCTTCACCGCTGGAGTAATCATGCTCCTTCTGTGGAACAGGAGCTATTAAACGCCTGTCATCTGCGTTGGAGTTCCGAGGCTTGGTCTTGGACTGATTCTTCTCTCCTCCTCTTGAGAACCCCACTAGCCATTTCTGTGCATCATCCCATTTTGATGGTGTTGGCTTGCCTAAGGCTGTCCGGTGATGAGAACCCCGGTTGGCTGTTCCATTCCCTTTTTGAAACTCAAAACTAATGTTGCTGCTGCCTGAAATCTCCTGTGGTGGTCCAAGGTTATAGCAGCTCTTATCCTCAATAGATCTCATATTTTCTAGTCAATAAACCCTTTCAGAACATAAAATCCTTACTGAACCAACAAGGTTTATACTCTAGATCCAATCTACAAGTCTAAGACAGCTTAGATTCAAGCCTTGATACTAAAACTGATCTGGGTTTAAGAGAACGGTCTCGGTCACTGAATCTTTGACATGCCAATGAATCTGCTGTGAAGTGCGAACTATACACAAATAAAGATGATATTACATTGCCATTGCTACCTTACTAACTTGACAAGAAAGTTTGCTAAATGTTTTCTCCCCAGTTATTAACTTCTTATTGACAGGATACCAGCAGGAACGGTACTAAAATATCAAGAAATAACCAATAATGCAGAGCAGAGCAGGAGTGCCAGGCCCCAAGACCCAGAAATATACAAAAATCTTTCAATGCAGCAGATGGGGACCCATGTGTGATTTAACCAAAAAGCTAATCATCTCAAGCACTAAGTAAACACCCATTAAAAAAAAAAAAATCAACCAAACCAACACCCCAAATGCATTATACCAGTACATAAACACTAATGAACCTAAACCAACAGTAGTCAGAACTCAATGATTTTCCAGAACCATCATGGATGTTGAACAGAGGACAGTCAGAAAAGAAAAACGATGGGGTCATTGCAGAGGAAAAAGATAATGTGCAGAGAATAATCTCATAAAACCCATGAATTTTTGAGACTTGCAGTGTCCAAAATTGAAACTTCAGATCCATCCCACATTAAAAAACACATTAAAAATACTGAAAGCATCAAACTTTGACAGTAACAGTCGAAAAAATTTCATAAAAATATCATTTTCATGAGGGGGTTTACCTTCAGAATCTCGAGGCTAGTAGTGTGGGATGAATGAATATATTAATAGGTATATAGCACCGAGGAGGGAGAAAGTTTGTTTCTTGGTTTGTCGTCCGGTTTAACGGTTACTGACGGAGGCGGGTGGAGAGGTGGATGAGCGACAAGTGGACGGTGGGAGATGGGGGAAGGGAGTCAGGATTAGTCAGACGCTGGTGGTCGGCTGAGGATGACGTCAGACTGTGGAGAGCTCTGAGGGCTTTCACGTGGGTGTAAGGAGCAGAAGCAGGGGACTGCTTGGGTAATTCTGGAGTTTATTTCGTCTGTGGCCTTGTCCTGGTGTACCATAGCGTACAGCTGCTCGTGGGGGCATCGATTTATGAAGTTGCCGAAGGATTTGTCTCACAATTTTCATTGGAATTAGGAGTTATTAGGAGCCATTTATTAGAGTTAGTTGAACTCTAATCAAATAAGGGCGTTTAAATTAACTTGATTCTATTCGGTTTAATAGTGATAAAAAGTTGATCATTTTCATAGAAAAATGTTAAGATGATATGCTATTAAAAATATTTAAATATTTAATAATAATTATAAGATAAATTTAATAAAATTAGATTTTATATTATATTCATATATTTAATAATTATAATAGATATTTTAATATTTTTAATAATATAATATTTTAATTTTTCTTTTTCTCAATTTTTATTGTAACTGATAATTAAAATAATATTATAAATGGACAAAATAAACTAAATCAACCATAAATTTATAATGACTATCAAGATACATGTAGGTATTATCATCATTAATATTGTTAAGATTATTAAAATTTTAGTTTTTTTATGATATCTAAAAATATCAGTTAATTAATTAATTTTATTTTATCAATTAATAAATATTAATTAGTTTATTAATTTTTAATTTTTAATTATAATTAATAATTATTTTTATCAATCAAATTAAATAAAATTAATATTTAAAAAAAAGAAGATATTTTACAATTTTAGTTATCATAACATTATTGTGGTCATAACCTTAACCTTAACCTCAAGTATCAACTATGAAATATTGATTATGAACAAGTACTAAACAGTTAAACTAAATAGAGTCTTCGCAAAATTTATGGCTAGTTCAATAAAAGTTTTTCATGTTTAGGCTTTAGAGGCCTTTAGTTGTCATGGAACCGAGAAAAGAATCTGGAGAAAGTTTATGCCTCGTGCTCCTGGTTCATTTTCATGGGGTTTAGTTTGCTAAACAAAACAATTATAATTGACCAAAATCATACAAAGGCAGCTTTGGAAGTGAATGACAGTATCACAGAAACAATTGTATATTTCCATTGGATTGAGCATTTGCTCAGGTGTCATCTACCCTGTTTTGTGTGTGTTGTGCACTTGCATTACATCAGATGAGGCAATCAATTCAGTTGCACCTTAAATTCTTGTTAAAAGGTAGTTCTTTTGAAGATTATGCTAGTTTATAGACAATAGTCTCAGGATTCAGATCATTTCCACTTATCTGCAACTTTCAAATTCTTCCTGTGGCAATGGAAATTAAACAATCAGAGTTCTCCTGCAATCGCATTTTGATCTTCATGAGCATCAAGAATGACTGCAAGTCAAGATAATCACAAAGCCAACAACAGCAGTAACAATTCCAAGCAATGAACCGGCAAGAACCTGTATGGAATTGAAATATTAGAAGAAGACTAATAATTGTTGTATGTAAAATCTTAAATGTGCAATCACACAGAGTAACAGCATACAATCTATTCGTGATACTTCATCCCCCAAGCATTACACTAGGCATGATGTTTATGATGGATGAACCCAGACTAGACATTTTGCATGTTACAATCACAGCTTTTAAACTTTTCAGGGCCAATAATTCTACAGAAAAAATGACATTGATGCTAAATTATAACTCATATCACTGTATAACTGGTTGAAATGTAGGCAGCATGCAGCACTTTGGTAGTAGCTCAATGCAAATATTATGGATGAAATATATGGGTGCCAACAACCAACTAGGATATGTATTTTGATATAAAATTCTGCATTGGAGATTACATCTTCTTAATTAGTTTTCACAAGAGCTTAACTAGTAAATGTCCATCCAATAAATTAGTCATGCTCATCAATTGAGTTATTGAAAAAAATCCAAGGCAATGTGCAAAACCTGAGAAGGTGTGTGACCAAGAAGTTCATGTAGTGGTCTGCTCTCAGCCAGAGGATGTTCAGCAGGCAATTCATAAACAATTTGATTAAGAACCTGGAGAGAATATAGTTTAAATGAATACATGAAAGAACTTTAGTTTAAACCGAATGCTGATGCATTTCAATTGAGAACAGAAACATGGCGTGCAGTCAAATAACTAAAGCTTCTACAATTATGCTGATTTCTAGAAAAAGCAAGGGATAAACATGCGAGAAAGAAGAATTGCCAGAAGATTGGGGCTTGAGAGAAAGGAGAAAAGGCAACTGGCAGAAAAATCTAACCTCTGCCTGGCGTCCAGCCTGTAATCTCACACCAGTTGCATCATACATAACCTGTCAAGATATTCTACATCAGAAATCTTCCCCACATTGTAGGCACAAGACAATTTGAGTAACGTGAAAAGATTGGTGTCTCTGAACTATCATGTCAAAGTTATAAAGAAAAAATATATATAGATGGGCAGTGATGATAAAAAGAAATAAATATTGCAATGAGCAATGAAAAAACAGTGGGTAATAATCTAAGAACAGTTAGGTATTTAGATATAAAGTAATAGAACATAATGAAATCAGGGATCGTACAACAAATGCTAAGATCAGTGATGTTGCAAAAAGTGCTCCTCCAAAGCCTTCTTGTAACCCAATGGATGTAGCAAGAGCACTGACGGTTGCAGAATGGGATGAAGGCATTCCACCAGATCCCAGAAGTTGTTTGAAATTCCATTGTCTTTCTGTATACCTGCAAATCTAGGAAAGCTTAAGACTCTCAGGAAAAACTAAATATAATCTGCCCAAGGCACTTGCCAAAAGCCTAAGCAGATAGTTTTATAATATTAATGGCGTTATACAAGCTTGCAACACAATTTCTATAAAAGCTATCACAGATGTGTAACGTGTTTTCTCATACTGAGATTTTGTTCTGCATACGAATTCCATAAGAAACACCCAGTCCTTTGTCAGTCATAAATTCGACTCTTGCAACATTGCAATGGAGTAAGCGGAATCAAGAAGAGACCCAAATTCAGAAACTATGAAAAAACCATATATTGGATCTAAACAATAGACACCCAATTAAAGAAATCCAAGAAACCAGCTGCTTATTGAACCACACAATAACAAGACCATTCACACACACATTCTCAAGTCTTGCAACATTGCAATTGAGTAATCAAAACCAAGAATAGACCCAATTTCAGAAACTACGAAAACCAAACATTGGATCGAAACAATAGAAACCCAATTAAAGAAATCCAAGAAACCAGCTACTCATTGAACCACACATTAACAAAACCATTCACACACAGACTCTCTAATCTTGCAACATAGCAATGTAGTAATCCAAACCAACGACAGACCCAAATTCAGAAACTATGAAAACCAAACATTGGATCTAAACAATAGACACCCAGTTAAAGAAATCCAATAAACCAGCTGCGCATTGAACCAAACAATAACAAGATCATTCACACACTGATTCTCAAGTCTTTCAACATTGCAGGAGCAATCGAAACCAAGAAAAACCCAGATACAGAAACAATGAAATCAAACGACTAAAACGAGATGAGACAGAGAAGGAAAGAGATACCAGGAAGTGAAGAACTTGGAAGATTGAGCAACAGCAAAGGCGACAAAAGCAGAAATTAGCGGATAATTGGTAATAATCGATGACCCTGCCGTTTCATCCATCTCTGCAATTTCCTTTTTGGGATCCTCCTTGAAACGATGAAATCAAGAGAAGAAAATAGAAGGAGAGTAAAGGAAGACCGATTCTAGAAAGCGTATCAAGAGGCGAGCTTGAAGATGATTTGTTTCCAAATTCTAAAGAGTGATTATTATTTATTATTTTCGCTTCTTCTTCGCTCTTCTTTTCTTTCCTTTCCTTTTCTTCTGTTATACAACTAACGGTCGTCGCATTTCTCTGTTTTTTTCCAACCTCCAATTATGTTTTATTTATTTTATTTTGTTTTTGGGGAAGGCTAAATGGGTTCTACCTAGGTTCTAATTAGAATATGCCTACCTTGTTTGACCAAATGATTCGGGAATATACTATTGTACCCTTTCCTACAATGGATTACATTGAGTTGGAATAGGGACCCGCTATTTTATTTTGCTTTCCTTGGTTATTGATTTCTTCAATCTTCTCCACTTCTTTTGGGATGCTACTAATGATTTTGGATGGTTAGATAAAGATTGGAATAAGATTTCTTTTTTAAAA